AACCAGGACTAAACCAGGTCTAAAACAGGTCTAAAACCAGGACTAAAAACAGGACTAAACCAGGTCTAAACCAGGCCTAAACCAGGTCTAAAACAGGTCTAAAACCAGGACTAAAACAGGTCTAAAACAGGTCTAAACCAGGTCTAAAACAGGTCTAAAACAGGTCTAAACCAGGTCTAAACCAGGTCTAAAACAGGTCTAAAAACAGGACTAAACTAGAAAAGCACTCAGAGAGCGCAGACCTCCACCAAGGACTACCCCCATTTTTTATATAAATTGCGATAAAATCAGTCTTCTGGATCAGATCCGGATCAGCCTTTGGAATATGAAAGAGGATCCCATTGTCCATCCCTGAGTCAAATTTCATGGGGTTTGGTCAATAATTAACCAAGATACTGAGAAACAAATTTTTTTGCCCCATTTACCACAATGTTAACTAAAATTTCAAAGTGATCCAGAATCCAGGATTTCTTCCGGATCACCCCCAAAATGAAATCAGTTGTTCCTTTTTACATTTCCAAAAAATCCTGAAAATTTCATCAAAATCGGTCCATAACTTTTTGAGTTATGTTGCTAACAGACAAACAAACAAACAGACAAACAAACAGACAGACAAACGCCGGCAAAAACATAACCTCCTTGGTGGACGTAACCAGGACTAAACCAGGACTAAACCAGGACTAAACCAGGACTAAACCAGGACTAAACCAGGTCTAAACCAGGTCTAAAAACAGGTCTAAAAACAGGTCTAAAACCAGGTCTAAACCAGGACTAAACCAGGTCTAAAAACAGGTCTAAAAACAGGACTAAACCAGGTCTAAACCAGGACTAAACCATGCTGGGCGGACGTGTCTCCTCATCTTCTATCAATAATATCTTTAATATGGTTAAGTAAAGACTGGACTTTTATTTTCTTTTAGCAGACTAAACATCTTATGTTACGATATCCTAGTCTTTCAAGTCAATAATCAAGTAATCCAAAGTATTCAGATTACGTTACTCACTTTAAGTAATTTAATGGATTACGTTACAAACTACATGTTGGTGTATGTAATCTGTAATCTGTAGGGGAATACATTTTAAAAGTAACCTTCCCAACACTGACCAATGATACAAAACCTACACTGAACTGTACGGAGCCTGTGTCTGTCCTGTTCTGCTCTGTGGCGCTGGAGTCTGGGGTGATTATAAACAGACCCACAGTGAGACAGTTTAGTGCAGATGTACTAGCCTAATCCGTGTATCATTCGTTAATTCGTTTTTCAATATAAAACCAAAAATAAGAAAACGAAAAAACAACAGTTTTCTTCGTTATTTGTCTCCAAAACCAAAATGAAAAAAACGGATAACGATTCGTTTTTTTCAGTTTTTCGATTTTGTGTTTAAAATGAAGAATGAAAAAAACGGATAACGGCCGCTTCCCGTTAACGTGACTTCTGTGACTGCGATGCCGAACTTTTGCACCGCGTACGGACTGAACCAGGACTGATCCAGGTCCGAGACGTAAACGGGAAAACGGCCGTTATCCGTTTTTTCCATTCTTCATTTAAACACAAAATCGAAAACTGAAAAAACAAATCGTTATCCGTTTTTTCATTTTAGTTTTGGAGACAAATAACGAAGAAAACTGTTGTTTTTTCATTTTCTTATTTTTGGTTTTATATTGAAAAACGAATGAACAAATGATACACGGATTTAGCCTGATTCATCAGCCGCTTTCACTTTGTGGAAACCATCTGACCTCGCAGCATTAGGATTTGTTCACTCAACGGTAGGCAGGTACTTTTTTATTTAACCAATCCCTGCTATTTCATCGTGACGTATGTAATTCGCCGCTAATGAGACTAACTGGTATATAAAGCTTTTCCCAAATCCCGTAGGAAGAAGGGCAATAACGTCTTTCCCCTTGATAAAAGTCACCAAACATTCTCTTTGTTCCGGCTTTAAATCCTTGATCTTGGGAATCGTTACCAACACAAAATGTATGCTTTTTCGCTGATTGGCCGGTGCCTGGACTCGCGCTTCTGACGTTCTTGCAAACCGTCTAGTGTACTCTGAATCCTGACCGAGCCCCCAGCTTCCAAAATGGCCGACCAGTCAAGTCAATGGGCCGAGCTCAATGGCGCATGATCCCAGATTCGCCTTTAGCCTGGCTAAGTACTTCCAGTAGCTGTGGGCCGACTGAGCATGTGCAGTAGTGCTCTTTTCTCCCACGGGTACATTTGAATGAACGCGAACACACGCACAGAGCGCGGCCTTGTGTATCACGTGATCGCTTTGACCAATCAGAGCGAGCGGAGCTAGAGCGGAGCAGAGCGGAGCCGAAGGTAACGATTGAAAAGTGTTTTTTAAGACAACTGAAGGATTGAAGGAAGGTGAGAAAAAGTTTATGATCTAAAAATACTTAAAAATCACCACAAAATCCAACATTTTTGAAAGTTGTAGGCGCTCTGTCAGCTGAACACGAGCAGTTTGTGATTACACTGTGCTCTATGAGAAAAATCTTCTCTCGGCCCATGGGACTTTTTCCGCTGTAGTACCAGTGAGTGTCCACTATGCCAACTCAAGGCAGCTACAAGCAGCAATACTGTATCCAATTATTTTAATAGATCCATGTTCCTGATCTAGTCGCTGGAGAGAAATGAACTTATGCAGAGGCACTAGGTGGCGCCAGCCTGGCTGCGGAGGTACTTCTTAGGCGTGCACAAAATGGCACCTAAACTGGCGCTGTATGGAGATATGAGCTGGGGACCATGCGAAATTGTGATATGGTGCGGTTATGGAATAGGTTGGTTAATCTGCCAGACACAAGATTAACCAAACATGTATTTAACTGGAGTCTGTTACATAAATCGTCCTGGAGTACAGAGGTTGAGAAATATTTTTGAGGATGCAGATCTCCAGTTTATTTATAGAAACAAGTTAATCTGTAGTGTCAGACAAACTAGGAAAATGTACTTTAAGAAATATAAACAGAAGTGGCACAGTGAAATCTTATGTGAACCAAAATTAAGAACATATATTTTAATTAAAGACTGTTTTGGTTCTGAGCCTCATGTCACTCTGGACTTGAGCAGAGGTCAGAGGTCAGGATGTGCCCAGCTGAGGTGTGGGACTCCGCCTCTGGAGACGAGACACTTCCACGGAGCGCACACGTGTCTGTGTGACTTAAAGGACATTGAAAATGAAATGCATTTTCTGTCCTACTGTCCTTTGTATCATGACCTGCGCTGTCAGTTGTTTAATGTATCGTACTGTTTGTTTGCGAAGTCTGATGAGGAGAGATTGGCGAATTTGTTTAGATGTAATATTTTCAAGCTGCTCCGTTTGTGTTGAAAGACTGGGACCTCCGTAAGAGGACACTATGTCTGCTGTGTAATCTGTCTGCTTATTGTTTCATGTGTCTTATAAGCACATGCGGGCTGGGCACCAACTAAAAAAACACTAAAGATAATGGGTTTATTTCACAGTCATTTGTAAAATTCAGGCTATTACAGGCTCTCTTCACACTTATGCCACAAATCAGGAAGACATTTGGAAAGATGCGATGGCAACTTTTGGTGTACCTACCGACTGTGATAAAACCCATTGAAGTAAATGTCATTTGGAATCATCTTGAATTTGGCGCCTCATCTCTTCTAATCGCATGTACTCAGTGCGCTCAGAGTTTTGTGTCAGTGGGGAAATGATAAAAACTGAGGTATGGTTGTAATTGTTGATTAGCCAAACACAGATGAACAGATGAAGAAAACTGTGCAATTTTCAACTTTTTTGTCACTTTAAACAGCTAAAATAGACTCAAAAAAACCCCCAAAAACTGTAGGTTACCAGGAGTGTTGAACAAAGAGTATAAAAGGTCACTGTTTACCTGGGGCCTACTGCATCAAAGGAGTCCACATAAAGATTTTAATATGCACTTTTTATATACATAACATGGACAATAAGTCATCACCTCCAGCTGAGGTAGTCCTCACTCCTGACCAAGCCTCAAGATCTGGAGATGGACCCTCTGCTCCTCACAGGTTGGCCCAACAGTAGAGGTGTAACAATACATGCATTCTTGCCAAAACGTTTCGGTACAGGATGTTCGGCTCGGTGTACATTACAGCACTACATGTGCAGCTACACAGAGGCTCGGCTCTTTAATATTCACGAGGGAACTCGTCCGTGATTGGGGTGGCAGTGTTTCCCACAGCACTTTATAGTTAGGGTGGTTGCCTTGACAACACTTGCCACCACCTTGACTACATCCCTCTAAACAATGTGAATCCTCGTACAACTATGGTTGTCGCGGCTCCATCCTTACTTCGCCTTTCACCAGCACTGAAATTCCGCCCCCCTGAACCCTCCATACCCAGTGCCTCTGGCCCAAGTGAAAGTGTATTCTTAACCACTGGGGACACTGTAACTGCAGCAATATTTCAAACATTTGTTGAATATTTCACAATATTTTTATTTAACTTATTAGTATTCCCAAGCAACACATTGCATTCATTTTACTTCCTCATTTGTATAATGTTAAAACAAATTGTTGGTTTAATAAAAACACACATAAACAAGCAAATGGTCTTAGAACAGAAAATTACCCTTACTAAAAAATGTAAGAATGGGTAAGGTACAAACCCGAGGCACTCCAACTGAATATATTAAAAGTCCTTTATTGCATGAAGGGATGCCAACGCCTTTCGACCAGCAAGATTCGTCAGGGCAAAGCGGTTTTGCATTTTATTCCCATACTTTTCCGAAAATGAACCGAACAGTGACCTCAAGACCGAGATACGTACTGAACCGTGATTTTTGTGTACTGTTAAACCCTTACTCAGCAGCACTGAAGCATGAGTCATATTTTTTCTACTTTTCTTCACAAATTGCTTCTTGATCGGTGTAAAACTATAATTCATATTTAAAACATAAACAACATAAGTAAAAGATAGGGCATCATCAAAACCTGTTATTATTGAGTGTTGCGTCCCGGTTGTGTGCAGTGTGAGCGTCCGTACCTCTATCTGCAGCAGCGCCTCCTCCCTCTGCCTCAGCACCTCCACGTCCTCTTCACTGATCTCCGACAGAAACGCCTGCACCGAATCTTCCGCTCCCAACGCGTCGAACAGGGGGCCCTCGTCATGGGTGTCCACCAGCGGGGTCTGCGGGCTCTGCGGGGGAAACAACAACGACAGGTCTGGTCAGAAATGATGGTGAAAGAGGTTATACTAGTGTGTGTGGTCGGACTATTGGACTATTGGGCTTTCTCACCAATGGGCCGACTCCGTAGTGATGTGTACGAATTGGCTAAAATGTGGGAAGGATTTATTCTAAAACATGGGGGAATGAGTCAGCTAAAGTGTGGGAATGAATAACATATTGTGGGAAAGAAATAATAATTTGCGGGCACGATTTAGTATCTTTTTTTGCGCACGTCGTCAGGTGAGCTCCCTATAGGCGAGTTTCATTGTTGACAAAAGCGCGCGTTGCATGCTGGGAATTATTTTGGTCAGCGGCAAGAAACACTAATTCAACATGACGGACGGAGCGAGAAAGCACGTAAAGGGTATTGATCCCAGTTATTTATCCACTCTAAACGGCAGAGGACCCAAGACCATTTGACCAGAAATTATTATTATGTTTATTTATTTCGGACAGTAATACATAGAACATAAATTAAAAAACAAAAACAAAAAACTAAATAATAAAAAAAGACAAAAACGTAAATACATAGATATAACACAAAAAGTAACTATTTCTATTCTATAATAACAGGCAAAATAAATGTTACGCAGAATTTTCCTTGTGTCCGAAAAAGGAGTGGGAGGAAGTAAATACTTATTTAACCCCACCCCTTTTTACTACATTGGTCATACAAATTGGTCATAACCATCGATGGACGCCAAATCACCCTTTTCAACTCCTACAAAAGGTGGACGAAACCATATTTCTGGTCAGAATCGCCAACTACCTGGCTAAATATTCACTTCGGCGATATCCACAATGACTTGGTGGAAACTCCTGGGCCATGGTTTGTTAGGATCTTCTACGTTTGCTCTGCGGATGTTTAAAAGTAATTTAATTCACCGTTAGCGGTTCTTTTCACTCGGAATACGAAAAACACATTTCCCTTCTTCCGTGCTTCTATTTGTGCATCCGATAATGCAGCAGGAATTTACCATTATCGGGGATAAATACGCGAGGTTACGCACTGTGTTTGACGCTATCGTGTTTCTTGCCTCCGACCAAAATACTTCCCAGCATGCAACGCGGGCTTTTAATAACAATGACGTCAGCTGAAACTCGCCTATTTCACAGCTCAAAAATATCCAGAAAAACACACATTCTGACTGTGAGCGGGGTCGCCTCTCCACAGAACTGACCTGTAACTTGGTATAGTTTGGTCTCCATGAAGGTAGAAAGGTGAAATATTCCAGACAAAGCAACAACATCGCCATGGAGAAAAACCTCCACTGTGAAAGTTACACAATGCACCTTTAATGTTTCTAGTTCAGTTCTGGTTTAGACCTAGTTTCGTCCTGATCCAGACATTTTTATTTATTTATTTATTTATTTTGTTCCAATAAGCCATTAAAACACATCATGGCCTAGGTTTAATCATTACATAATTTCAGTCAGTTTCTGTTGTAGTACTTACAAAGAGAAATATTACCGGAGGTGGTATAGCTACAAAAATCAGATGCCCTTCCCACCAACTTGTCAGATTTAATAACGGGTGCTAAACTGACTTGTTTGTGACATGTGGTTGCATTTAAAACACACATATAGGTCTACAGTAGTACTAATCTTTCTTTATCCAACTGTATAACACATTTTAATTCTGTTTTGACTGATGGTTGACTATACCTCCACCTAAAGTTCTTTTAATTATGATTGTCTAGTGCTGAAGCAGTATGCAAATGAGATTATGCAATGACCTGTACACCTTAAGATTTATGTACATTTGTGTGTGTGTGTGTGTGTGTGTGTGTGTGTGGGGGGGTGTGTGGTCTTTAAAACTCAAGACTGTCTTCTTACAGTGATTTCTTCGTCTGAAACTGCTTTTGCTGCTGTTTTTCTGCCTGGTTTGACCTTGTCTGCCTTTGGTCTCCTCTGAGCCACTGACTCAGTTTCTGCCCCTGCGCTGGCTCCAGTCCACTGTACAAAACTATAGACATCATCAAGAACCGTACAGACGCCAAAACTGGAACTCACACGGACCATAGAAAAGTGTTTTTTTATTTATTTATGCATACAAATTTTAGAGATTTATTGGCACATCATCAGCATTAAAAAAAAAAAAAAACTACAAATCTATGTAACTTTTTGCTGAGGTCCGTCACTTGTTTGTTCCTTTGTAAATGCCATTGTTCTTCTTCAAATGTTCCACAGTATGACTTTAAACTTACATTATTTCAGTTTTATAGATACCTTGAAAAACAGGCGTTCTAACTGAGCGATGATGCCTCTCCTCGGATCTGACCTGTAACTTGGCCTGGTTTGGTCTCCATGAAGACAGAAAGCCACACGGTGAAACATTTCTGACAAAGCAATAACATCTCCAGGGAGAAAAGTATTAGATGGACCCTCCACCAGAAAAGTTACACAATGCACCTCTAAGTAATTATACGTATTTAGGCCCTCATTCCTATCAGCAATTTTCCCGTCATAACATTGCTTCACTCCTCAGGTCTCCAACAGGTTGACTCTGCATTTTTTTTCTTTATATATATATATTTGTTTTACATGGACAGAAATTTAATAGATTGATTTGTTTGTTTTTGTTTTTTGTGAGCTTATGACAGTAGTTACTTCTACATAATATTTACATTTACACTCTTAAAGCTCACATGGTTTCAAGCATTTTTACAATACAATACAATACTACAAATTTAGCTCGAAAGGGAGTTGGAAAAAAAACAAAAAAACATAACAAAACATAAACTTCCAGCCCTTGTACTACTGTTATTGTTGTGTGCTCTATACTTTCAGTTTACCACTCCTATATATTAGTTGTTACAATAAAAATCAAATATATAGTGCACAATTCAGAAATAACTAGGGATGAGATAAGACTTTGTGTCACAATGTCTCGCGAGACGAAGCTGCCACAAGATCATGCACACGTGAGGAAAATTATCCCGTGAGATTCTTTTCGCCATGTTTTTACGTTTGGATTGGATAAAAAGTTAAGTACTGGCGAGATGCATTTCTTTGAGAAGCTGTAGTCACAAAAAGCAGCACTCAAGAAATCAAAAACTGTGAGAATAAAATTATGAACTTGGAAGCAATTTCTTTATAGTAAATAATGTCAGAATCTCATCTTGTCTCGTTCTCACAGATCCAGTCTCACTTCTCGTCTCGTGTCTGGTCTCGTCTTGTGGAAACTGTATCTCGTCCCACCCCTAGAAATAAAGATGCTCTTTGGATTGAATTCTAGACTGGACTTGTTACATAAATTCAGATGAAACTGGACGTGAGAGTAGTCCGGTTCGCTGTAGTCCTCTCTCTTGTCCACTCCTGCACAGCGTAACCCAACAAAGCTTCACCTCGTCTGTGGGCTGCCAACTCCATATTCACACAAACTCCAAAACGCTACTGAACCCTGCCGCTTCAGTCATTTGTTTATTCACTGCTGGTAACAGAAACCCTCGAAATAAATGATAAACATCGGCCACGTAGGAGTAAAGTTAGCCTTTGCTTCAAACACTGTGTGGGTTTCCCTGGTTGCCATGGTTCATGGAGAAGTGAACAACAGTGTTTTTATGCAGCGCTAAAGAGGTGGGCTTATTTAAGAGGGATTTTATAATATTGTAATACAGGCTCATTTACGGCTCTGAAATTAAAATGGGGTGAAAATGAAGATGAAATTAGTAAAAATCTAGAAGATACTTAACCTACTTAAACCACTTCACCGAGGTTTAATTGTTGTGCATCAGTTTTTTATTGAAAGTTGAATTGAAAGATTATTATTAGTAGTAAGTAAGTTGTAGTAGTAGTAGTAGTAGTAGTAGTAATAGTAGTAGTTGTAGTAGTAAGAGTTGAAGTAGTAGTAGCTGTAGTAGTAGTAACAGTTGTAGTAGTAGTAGTAATATTTGTAGTAGTTGTAGTAGTAGTAATAGTAGTAGTCGTAGTAGTAGTAATAGTTGTAGCAGTTGTTGTAGTAGCAGTTTCCAAAGTGCTGCTCAGAGATCATAAAATTAAGACAACAAAAAGGTAAATTGCTAGAATTTGGCCACACCAGTCCTACAACAATAAAATCCGTAATAGCAAATGAAAGCAAAACCATACAGATTATAAAATAGCAGAACTTAAAATCATGGCTTTGTAAAGAACCAACCATTATTTGCCAGTTTGGGCACGCGAAGACACGGGGTTTCAAAATGGCCGCCCAGTCAAGTCAATGGGACGAGCTCAATGGTGCAGGATTCCAGACTCGCCTTTAGCCCGGCGAGGTACTTCTGGTGGCATGTGCAGTAGTGCTCTTTTGTCCCAGGGCACACGAGAATGCACGTGAACGCAAGTACGGAGCACGGTCTCTTGTATCATGTGATCGCTTTGACCAATCAGAGCTGAGAAAGTTTCCATCCATCCATTTTCCTCCGCTTATCCGGGGCCGGGATGCCAGGGGCAGCAGTCTAAGCAGGGACTCCCAGACACGTCCTCCAGCTCCCCCGGAGGAACCTCAAGGCATTCCCAGGCCAGCCGAGAGACATAGTCCCTCCAGCATGTCCTGGGTCTTCCCTGATGCCTCCTCCCAGTGGGACATGCCCGGAACACCTCCCGAGGGAGGTGCCCAGGAGGCATCCGGAACAGATGCCCAAGCGACCTCAACTGGCTCCTCTCGTCGTGGAGGAGCACTTGAGGCAAGGACTTCCCACCCACCCGGAGAGGGCAAGCCACCTTTTTCCGATCGAGAACCGTGGCCTCGGACTTGGAAGAGCTGATCCTCATCCCAGCTGCTTCACACTCGGCTGCGAAAGTTTTTGATCTAAAAATAGGTAAAAATTGCCACAAAATCCAACATCTTTGAAAGTTGTAGGTGCCCTGTCAGTTGTAGGTGCCCATTGCCCGTGAGATGTTTGTGGTTACATTGAGCTCTATGAGAAAAAGCCTTTCTCAGCCCTTCGTCTGAAGTACCATGGAGTGGCTACTACGTCAAGTGGAGGCA